TGGCCGCAACCTCATATAAAGGGCCTGTGAGTCGGTGCGATCGATCCAAACTTCGCAATTGCAATAACTGTGAAGCCGAACGCGTGCATTAGTGTAGGCACTATAGGGGCGCGTACCAATTCATATAGAAGTACGTCAACGTACGGATCCACATGTGCAACTTGTCATTGAGTTTATATTTCGTATACAGGTTATACGATCATCTTTTGAACGCATGATCTGCTAAAAATATATTGCCATGCGCAGCTAGGTCCGTACTAGGTGTGCATTAAGGCAATGGCCATTGATGTCATGCAAATTACGGGTGGGTACATCGACTTGAAACCTGTATGGGTGCCAAGTCCTGGCACATAAGTTGAGCGCCACTTCCGACAAGGGCCTCTCGCATCGCACAAATTGCAAACAGAGCATGGATGCCCAGAACGACATCTGATATCCTAGACATTGTCTGGTTGACCAGATCGACAAAGTCGAATTCAACGAGTCTAACAGATTTCCAAACGTGTCCCGGCCTAATGATCACTAGACAAATAATAATCGGATATCGAGCCTGGGTGCTAACAATAGCTATTAAGGCCTGGGTTGTTGCACTACACAGCAGCTATTTCTAGCATCATATGCTAAGCTCGTTGTAGGTACCCCCAACAGTTGAAAGCTATCTCCCCATGCATCGACCGCACTAGTCACAGTGATGTTCCAAGAATCTCGAGTCCCAATAGAGAGAGAGTCCCTAATGGATACTAGATTACTAATGTGGCAATGATCCTATCCAAAGCCAGCGTTCAGAGGTGGATACGTATAACAGGCTTTATCATCCACTCCCTACTAGACTTACAAGTCACTGTTGAGTTGTACGTTCTGTCCTTGAACCACACTCATATTGTTGTGGCCTCGCGTCCCTCCACTTCATCCAAACCTAACAATTGCATGCAAACTAGACGGGCTGGTTGTGTCTTTCGTGTCTCTCCTAAGAAGACCTAACAATAACTCAGAAATCCATTGACCAAAGCCCCACCAGACATTATTCCCTTTCGAGTCGAAATTACTCTCACCACCCTCAAACACTCCTACAAGACCAATTTGTATACCTCCTCGCTAACCCGCCCTGCGCATTACACTACAAACGGAAACGCACACACACAATACTGCAGAGACACCTTGCTCTCTAGTACAACCCGCGTAAAGCACAATAAAGACCGCCTGCCTTCGCATCATGCTGGCACCGCCAAGTTGCCCGCCGGCCGCGCCACGCCCGCCGGCTTCTTGGCCGTCATCCCCGGGGGTCCCAGCGGCCCGGGGCCAATGAACCCAGTCAACACAATACAGTTGCCCTTCTTGTACATTCCTCCAACGCCTCCCGTTTTCCTCTCGCCCGGAATGCCCTCCAGCCCCGTGCCCTCCTTGCCCGGGGCATAGCGTGACTGCAAGTTGGTGCCGTCGTCCTTCGGCCACTGGATCGGACCGCGCGGCCCCGCCTTGACCACCGGCTGCGCCAAATCCCCCGACCACTCCTCCCGGGCGCGCTTCTGCCCGGCCGCAGGGGTCGGAAACACCTCCCCTAGCTCGCCCAGTCCCTGGGAGTATAACTGAGGGGGAGGGGACGGGTTCTGCAGGAGCACCGAGGCGAAATCGTGTTGTGCCTCGGGCTGTAGGGGGGAAGAATTGGAGTTCGCCCCGATCTGCAACTGGGGATCGAGGGCTGGCGTGCTGAGCTCAAGCCCTGAGGTGGGATTGGACGGGGGGCTGAGCAGATCGAAGTTGAAAGTGGAGAGGAGATCCGTGTGCGCAGCAGCGGGGGGGTCATAGGAGAGGGAGTCAAACGCCGGGGCGGACTCAACCGTTGAGAGGGGGGGCTCAGGCTGGCGGCTGTTCCACATGGGGGGGGAGGAATCGGTGCCGAGGAGGAGCTGCGGACAAACATCAAAATTTGTTCGAATAAGTCGTCCAGGTGTTCCTTGTTGGGGCTGCAACAGACTGGTGCCTTGTATGTCCGACTTGTCTGCGTAGAAAAACAGCGCAGGGGGACACTAGCAGACAAGGCACGCTTACTCGCTGCTTATCCAGATGATGTGAGGGAGTACAAAGATCCTACCAGCTTTGGAACCACCTGAGGGTTACTTGTCTTGCAAATGCCTGTTCGCAGAAGAGGTCCTCCCAAAAAAAATACTCTCATTCTGCCCCTTCTGGTTTATTGAGGCACAAAACCGGAGTGCCCCATCAACTGAACGCCCTCTTCCACATCACTGCGCAAAACTAGTGATTGTCAAGGCATCGAGTCGAAAAAGTTCAATCAAGAAAAGAAGAATCCAGAAGTGGTCCACGAGTGTTTCGCACCTGCAGGGGGTCGTTGTCGGTATTCCACGACTCTTCCAGGTTATTGTGCGCGTCAGATTGCGGCAGGGGGAGCGAGAGGTCGTTGGTCTGCGCCAGGTTGAGCGAGAGGCAGCCTCCGTCAAGCGCCTCGGCCTGCTTCTGCTGCGCTTGCATCTCCTGGAAGCGCTGTAGCAGCTGCGCCTGCTGAGCCTGCTCCGCTGCCTTCTGCTGAGCATGCTGCGCCTCCTGAAAGAGGACAAAACTGCTTCAGACAGGGTTGGCATGTAAGTAAGGTAATGATGTTCTTCAAACGTGAAGTATAAGTGCCAAGGAATTGAGTGCATGCAAACAAAAATCATGTGAGAAACCACCTGGATGCAATGGTAGAGGAAAGAAAAGAGGAGCTGTCCAAGGAGCTCTTCAACCTCATGAGTTTCGAAATACTTTCAGCGTCAACCTCCTGTTGCAGAAGGCAGCCTGCTGTTCAGAGAGACACCTGCGTGAAAATCCGAATCCTGCCCCTTCATTTCGTTAAAAGAACTCAGCTGCACATTACCAAACCCTCCCCAAAAATGTCTGCAACTGAAGAAAGAGGAGAAATCTAGCATGACTGCAGCTTCAGCGAGGGGGGAGAATTCAGGGTAAGCGCAACTGCAGCGAGAGCTGATTGACTTGGTTGAGGAGCTTGCCTGCAGTGCGCCATAGAGCTGGCGCAGGAGCGCATCCTGCTGCTGCTGGTGCTCTAGCTGCTGCTTGAGCCGTTGGTGCTCCTGCCACTGCTGCAACTGCTGCATTGCCAGCAGCTTCTCGAGGGCGCTGCCGGTCTCCAGCCCAGCCAAACTCTGCAAGCACGAGGGGAGACCATGCTTCAAACAAATGCAATGTTTGAGACTTGCTTCTGTTCAGAACTTGGAGCTTGAAGAAGACAGCTCTTTCAGAAACCCTAAAGAAAGAGAGCGCTTGGGACTGGGACAAAAAGCAGGCTGCTGTCTGTGTAGCAGGGCAATAGAGAGTAAGGCGGATGCATTTGGATTGGCAGTGCTGCATTTCTGGGTCCAGTCATCAGATGCCATGGGGGGACAACATCTGCTGCATGGCTGTAGGAACTGGCACATTTTGCTCACAGTTGAGGCAGAAAGCTTTTGCACACAACCAGAAGTAACAAATGACGTAGTTACCTCACATTCTCAGAGAAGTAAAACCGCTTGTTTCAAAGGTCAGGAGGTTGTTTGGTGCAGTATAAAACAATTTGTTGCAGAAAATGATGTCGAATATTGCGAAAGGTCCAAAATGCTTGAGGTTTGGAAACTCAAACCCCTAGAAGTCTGATCTTTTCTTTGCCTGGATGCACACCAATTTTGGCGTATGGTGACAAAGCGCATTGTCAACAGGAACTATAAAGCAAGCTCGAGAATTCATGTTTCCTGTGGTACCATCCAGTGCTCTCATCATAGACTTGAATGAAGCAGATTGAAAGCCCCAACGAAACCTGCTTACCTGCAAGCCGCTGACATCATTTAGAAGGGACCCTTTAAGTCCCATGAAGTCAGCAGGGAGTACAGAGAGCGCTCCTGCGACAGCAGACCTGCAGGGGGTGTCCTGCAGGCCCCCAATCATGCCAGCAGGGGCCAGACTGAGGGTGGCATTCAACTCCAGGGGGCTGCTAGGGCTGCCAGGCTGTGTGCTCTGACTGCGAAGGGTTGTGATGCCGCGGGTGGGGTTAGAGTCAGAGGAGTCCAGTTGGAGCGTGGTCCAGTGAAGGCAGTTTGCTGAAGGAGCCTCCGCTGCAGGTTCCTGCAGAATGGAAGACATGGAGTCTTGCAACTGAGGGATGTGATTACCCGGTTATTTACTAGGGAATGATGATTTTTGAGCTGCCAAGGGACACACAGGACCAGTGGCCTGACCAGTGGCCTTTTACCTTTACCAACCAGATTGGCGCTTGAGGGCGCTGGAATTGCCGGAGTTTAGGGGTTCTCTAAGACATGAGTGATCAAATGCCTTCGTTTAGGGGTTCCCAAGACATCAATGCTCAAGATGATACTCAAGCTGTCCTCGACGGCTGCCAACTGGAAACCCTCCCTTGACAAGATGTTGGAACAAAACCCTTGCAATACAACTAGAACTTCATGGGAAGCTTTGCCAGTGTGTCGACTCTCTGACATACCCAGATACAGACGGTGAGATCTGACTTTCGGAGCTCTTACCGTGAGCATAGCAGCACTGGCTGGATCCCTCAAAGCAGATATGTAGTTCCTCAGGATGTCACTCTTGGTGGCCTTGGCTGATTTCTCGTCCTGCGAGCAGCACCAAGCACTGGTTTAAACCACCAGCAATATTAAAAACAAAAAGTTCCTCATGTCTGAGTTCGTCAGCATGGGAACACACGGTCTGACATTCATAACAACCCAGGCTTAGCAAAGCAATTGGAGTAGGACGCGTAACACGACATGGAGGGATAACTGCGAAAAGGATCTTGACTGGGAATCATGTAAGAGAAGCTTACTTTACGACGAGCCGTGCTGTTCCAGTGATTCTTGATAGCGTTATCACTGCGTCCTGGGAGGTGCTTTGCAATTTCAACCTGGAGGAAAGGAGTTGAAATGACGACATGCAGAACCAGAAAATTTTAAAGGCTTCCGCTAGACCAACAAGGCCTTATCTGGACAGAACTATAGCGGCAGGCAAAAGAAAGCAAGAGCTTGCATTGAGAAAGGATTCAGACTATTCAGGTAAGTTAAGGTACTGGGCCAATATCAAGCTTGCATGGCAGCAGGGAATGTCATACTCACCCATCGATTCCCAAATTGCAGATGCAATTGAATGAGCTTCTGCTCTTCCTCAGGCGTCCAGTCTACCTGCAGGTGCACAAGAATGCTTCTCAAAGGAGAACCTTGGTAAAAATCTGAACAAGCAAATGGTGCAACTTTGTCTTTGATAACATGCTGGTTGTCAACATGAGCAGCGCATGATCCATGCAGCACAAAGGTACAGATTCAAGATGCTTACAAAGGCAGCTATGGAGGTCAACCCAATCTCGTGCCAGGAGGGTCAAAACTGACATGCAAGTGTCTGCAGCAAAAACTTGGGACAACACATTACCTTCTTGAGGCCAGGACTCAGGTGATTATGCCACCGTTCGCGGCACTGCTTGCCATTCCTGTTGCTGAACTGTTTGGATATGAAAGCCCAGGTCTTGGTACCATGGACTTGCACCAGGCTGCTCAGCTTCTCGTCCTCCTCCTGAAGTAGGTAGACTCAACAGTTGTTACAAGAATCAAGCTGCCAGGTTTGCTCCGCGAATCCACGAATTGGTATCAAGTATCTGCATTCAGTACAGCCCTGACTCGCAAACGCTGTTTGTTCCTCAAGCCTGGAATCCAGACATAAGTCCTGATTCTATGTTCCTAGATTGATGATAGTGACAAAGTGCTCTTGAGTGTTCCCCTCAATGTATGCATCCAGCTATCTTAGGACACACTGTCATCCAACAATCCACCATAGAGTATCAAGAGCAGCACGAGGCCCAAATGACATGCTCAGCCATAAGCATTAGCGCACTACCCTTTTTCTTTACTACCCTCCTTATTGACAACTCATGAGAATCCCCAACATAAAAGAGCTCTCCTGCCTTCTTACCTTTGTCCATGGAGGAGCCCTGGAAGACCTCTCCCCATCCATCTCTTCCTTGCATCCCGGTCTGTCCCCTTGCTCGCCCTGTGCCTCGCACTCAACGTTGAGTGAACCATTTCCTTGTAAAGAATCATCTTTTGACGAGTGTACCTCACCCCTCCTGTCGTCTCCTTGGACAAATGCTAGTAGCTTGTCCTTCATCTGCTCCTGCTCTTCTCCTTTGACTGAAAGGGCCCCACCTCTAAACCAGCGTTGCAGCAGCTCGCTCTTTGCAGGCTTAAAATTTGGAAGGTAGTCTGCTACATTGAGGGTTGCTAGGGGAGCCTGTCCTTCGGAGGCAGGCTCAGTCTCAAACTCGCCGTCCTGATTCTTCTCCATGCCCCTCGCACAGTTCGAGCGTATCTCCTCTAGATTCGATTCTGCCTCCTTAGTTCGCTCGCTAGGATTGACAAATGCACGTATACCTGCTGTCAAACCAAATTGCCCTGCGTCACTGCTCCTGCTGTCATCAGCAAATGCATTTGATGAGCCGCCAACACTCTGAGTTGGAACAATTGTGTTTGCCTGCAAGAATCGGAAGGCTTTTTTTCAAAATCATATAAAGGCCACAACTCTCATCAACACCAAGTATCCATCCTTTCCACAATGCACAAGGATCACAGCAAGAATCGCAACACTGACTTGAATGTATTCATGCCAACCAAACATGCTTTCAGGGACGGAAAGAGAGCATGAAACCAGCAAATGCAAGGCGTTTAGCATCAGACCAACATTCATATCTCATACTAACAAACACCTAGGATGAGTTTGATGGAGTTGCCACAAGCGAGCTGCCAAGTCGGGCCGAACTGTCAGTAGCCCAAAAGACTTGATTTGACAAGGAGCAAGAAGCTGTGTAGAAAGCTTTGCAAGCTTCACAATTATTTACCTCCCGCCTATCAGACTTCTTTGGAAATGCTCCGCGGCCAAGCCTCAGGTGACCAAAGAAAAGCTCTTCAGGACTTGACTTGACATCTTAGCTTAGGTAAACCAGCTTCGTGAATTTATTGCATTGATCCTTCATGATGTTTTAAAGATGCGCTCCACAAAGACGCGCCTGAAGTTGAAACTCAACATTCAGACTGACCCTATGCACGGGCACATGAAATAGACAGTCTCCCCACCAGGAGTGCAGGTCAGAGTCAGCTCCAAAATCTCGGGTATTCTTTTCCAATCTAGCTCTCGCGCTCTGGCAAGCACCAGGGTCAAGCGACCCCATCGCTTTGGATCTTAGATGCCTTCATTTGCCAACACTGTTAGCGACGTTCAACAATACCTATCTTCCTCCCCTGCCCGCTCTCACTTCCAATATGCGCCCTTCGCAAGCAAAAGCACCTCTAAAGCAGACACGTTAATCAAAAGCCCGCCATTTTCCTAGGCATCCCTTGCCACAGCCCCGCAGGCCCTTGCGGGCGCAGAGCTGGCAAACGCGGAGCTTGGAGGCAGCCATGCTTGCCTGAGGCTTTCTAGAATCCTGCCCCACAAACACTCACGAATTCACTGTACCTAAAAGCTCACCACTGTAATCTACAGTCTACAGTGTAGAGCTCTTGAGCCTCATCAGTCTACTAAGCAACAGACCTCAGCGCCGCTGCAGGCAAGGGCGGGCCTGCAGACTGCCTTTCGTGGCGATCACGATTGCAAGTTGCATGAACCATATTGCCAGGTGGCGCATTTTGAGAGGACTCAACAACCGGTACCGTACCGCATGAAGGTAGGTACCTATTGCTTCCCCGGGCCGAAACTCAGGTGCCGTAGCTCTTAGCTAGGTACGTACCTACTAGGATTTTACGGTGGGTACGGTACATACTACAATGTACCTGGGTATCTGAGTACCGGTAGGCTAAGGCGCGCCTAAGCTAGGCTTGTAGGCCTGTAAATTGTAATCAGGTACCGGTAACCGTACCATGCACATCGTGGGCCCTGGGGCCTCTAATGATGGTGGTTTAAGGGTGGGTTGGGGTGCGGAGCGGGTAATTATGTGGGTTAGGGTTTAAGTTTGGAGTGCCAAGGTAACTCGTATCTTAAGGTCACACGCCCGTTCGGCGTTACGGTAGGTCACAAGAGAGTTACCGGTATGGTAACTAATCTGGCCATCGCAATACCGGTAAACCGGCATACCGGTAGTTGTAGCTATTAAAAGTTAAACTTATCGCCCGTCCGGGTTTTTCGCTCAGCTATTTTGCCGGGAGCCATCAGAGTTGTTTCGAAGTCGAATCACGTGGCAGGGAGATATCGCTGATTTACCCCGCCGCGGAGGGGTATATCAGAACACTCTAAGCAGGTTCGACGCCGATGCAGTGTCCGGACTAAGCGATAAGCGAGTTATACCATTCGAGCTCGGCGATATCGAAGGTTTCTTGTCGACCTCGAGCTTGATATCCCCCTCGGGGCTCCGCCCTCGGATGGATATCAGCTCTCGTTCGACGCGAAACCATCGATATCGCAGAGCTCTCATGGTATAACTACTACTTATTGCGAACCAGCTTGGAAGCGTGAGGGTTTAACCCCCTTGACAAGGGGTTACTGGGGTGCACCGTGCATCTCGGTGCGGAGCGGGTAGTTTTGTGAGTTAGGTTTCTACTTTGTACTGCAGTGTTAGCGAGATCGGAGAGGTACCGGTATTGCTACTAGGTACCTAGGTACCTAGTACTTGAAGAGACATTTGTCGGGATATCGTAGAACCGGTATACCTACCTACCGGTACTTAGGTAGCAACGGTACCTATTTACCGAGTACCTACCCGCCGTACCAATGTGCATTGTGGTTAGCCTATCCGAGTCGGTACTTGAACAGCGGTACGTACTGCTGTTCGCAACTTGGCAGGCCCGCGAATCATTGTATCGTAGGCCGTACCTAGCAAGTGCCTCAGCCTGAGCCGCGGCTTGCCGTCACCCTGAGTTGAATTGCCGCTTGCTTCCTGACGCCCGACGTCAGCAAATCACCCTAGGTTAAACCCCCACCGGGGGTATAACTTGGGGCAAACCGGCTGTCCGGCCACCGGAATTCAAATTTCGGTCCGAAGGCGCATGCTTCCAAGCCTTGGAAATTTGAGCTTGAAATCCCAAAAATCTGAAGCATTACTCCGGTCTGTTTTCGGCGGTCTTTCTTTCTATGGCTCAGTTTCAGTCCAGTTGAAACCGCCAGGTCGAAACCGCCGCTCAAAACGGAGAGAAACGACTTGTTTTTCTGCTGGGGGAAGACCTTCTTGTATGTGTTGCGCCCGTCGCAATTTCAAGAATGCGAAAGACGGTTATGGCAAAGCTGGTAACCAGCACTATTTATACCCCCGTTGGGGAAGCCGTACACTAGGAAAACAGACCAGTGCGTCCAAGAATCAAGATCATCATTGTACCGGTAACAAGTCACAGCTTCAATTTGATTGATCATTGAGCCCAACTATTTTGGCGGGCGTAATCGACGCCTGTATTTTCGGACATCTCCTGAACTTGGAAGTTTGAAGTCTGAAGCAGTGTTTACCACGAAGATTTGAAATAGCCGGCTGCCCAGAGGGTCCCTATTGAAGCAGTCGGTTGGAAGAGGCCGTTGGTCGGTTTGCCCGGGCCGACCACCTTGATTTTTGTCGGATTTTTGTGGGCCGGGTGCGCTCTCTTGGGTCGGTTACCCGGCGCGAATTCTGCCACTGACAGTAGGCCCTGCTTGGCCAGAGCACTAATCCGCAAGTTCTCAGTGTGACACTACAGCCCAAAAGTCAACCGATCCTCTCCACCTTACTTTGGCCTAGTGTCAAGGTCTCTGAAGGTTCAAATAGTGCCAAAAGTCTGAGAAAAGGCCTACCGACCACTATTGGCCTACCCGGCTGGGACCGACTTCTCAGAAACAGGCCGGTTTGGGCAGCCGACCACCTTCATAGTGGTCGGCTTTCCAGCCGGCCTGCGGCAGGCCACACTCGTTGGAGTCGGTCACTTTCAATTTTGGTCGGTCGCAATACCACTGCAAGTCGGTTCGTGGTAAACACTGCTTTCTGGAGTACCTAGGTACGGTAAGTGCTAGCAGGCTGCGCACAGTGCAAAGGGTCAGTAGTCTCGGTACCTAAAGGTACGCTGCATGCACGCGTCACGCGTGTCATACGATGTCAGACCAGTGGGTACGGTACCTGAAACGACGATGTTCCTGGTCGCTACCGGTCTTGAGCCTGCCGGTACCACGTAGGTATCCTAGTACCTGCCTGTAAATATTGAAAGAAAGCCAATGAAATAATTTTGTTAAATAAGGGTAAACCGCACTAGGACGGGTAGGGTTAATTTGGTGGATTAGGTAATACGGTGGGTATGGGTGCGGAGAAGTTACCGGTATCCTTTTTGGTTAGGATTTTTTATTTAAAGTTAGTCGGAGCTTACCTAGGTATTAGGGAACATCTTGGCAAGTGTTTCCACTGGGGGACCGCCACCAGCCATTATCGCCCCCAATGGGCAATATCGTCCCCCAATAGGAGGGGCTTGGGGGCCCAACGGGCCCCCAATCCTTGAGGCGAGGGGGCCCGACGGGCCCCCAAAGAGCATCGTTGGAGGGCCCTTGTGCCCCCATGTTTCAAACTGAGGGGGCCCAAGATACCAATTCGTCTGGATTCTTGGCTTTAATATTTATCTTTTTGAGCATAATATTGCCTGTAACTTCCTGGGGGCCGGCCGGGCCTGGGCTTGCCTGGACTCTGTCGGAGTCCAGTGGACTCTGGATCGCTCGGAAGCTCGGTTTGGTAGCGACCGGTCACCGTGCTAGCGCGGCCTTCCATCATTCCATGCCCAGCTGAATACCATAAAATAAAATTGGTAAAATTGCCATGGCCCATGAACCAGGCTACCGTACACGTGACACTCCAAACCTGATGTCACGAGTCACGACTCACACTGCACAGTGCACAGGCAGGTTTGTACGGTATACCGGTAAGAGGGGAGGACGTGGACTTTAGTTTTCCATTCTGGACCCCCACACCGACAAGGATGCCCTGTATGGCAGTGTAGGTACGGGCAGGCCGCAGGCTTGAGCCTTGGAGTGCCCGCGTAACTACCGGAACCCGACTGTACTGTAACCTCAGAGTCCCGCTCAGGGTACTTTTGACTGATCGCCTGATCGGGCTCAAACCTCCCATTACCTAAATGAGAATGGGTACAGTAGTACCCCTATTACCCCCGCGAATCACTCTGACAGAACGTGGACTCCAGTTTTCCGCTCTGGACCCCCACACCGACCACAGCCCCGTGCGCGCACAATCGAAATGACTAGTCATTCTTGGGTCCCCGACCGCTTCTGCTGGTAACCGGTCAAAGCACCAGATCTTTCGCCGGGAAAATATCGCGGTACGCCGATCTTCCGATGACGACACATTTCTTCCTACGTACCTACTGCTGAGACTAAGCGCTGAGTTCGCATTGCGGCGCAATGCGCATGCCATGTCACCCATGTGCGCCCAGCGAGCAGCCTGGTGCACATCCAGCAGCTTGGTATGACAGTTCACCAGCAGCTTTATATGACAAAGAGAATCAGTGACGAGAGCCAATTGGAGACGAGGCCTCACATTTGCTGCAATATCATGCACTGCAAGCCCAATGCTTTATCAAGTTTCAGCGCAACCATTCAAATGTCATTAATTGCCGACAAAACCGTTCATCATCGATCAGCACTGCACAATTTTGAGTGGCACATTAGATGCGAAGCCTTTGTCGATGTCTGGCTTTGTGAGTTAAGTTGAAGTGCTCACAATTGCCGGAGCGCGAGGCCTGAGCGCTCTGGAGTGACATTTCAATGAGGTGTTGTGGCCCTCACATGCGCCTTTCGCAGTTGGCTTGGCCGACGGACATTGTTCTAATCGATTTTGTCATACTGTCATATCATTTATTGTTATACGGCGGCAAGTTGCAACCCCTCAACGGCCCACTGAGGACATGCGCATCATGCGCTCGCCGGGTCAAAAGACAGAAGCCCTTAGAGGCGGAGCTGAATCCTGAGGTGGATCAGCGATGAAACACCACTACGTGGCAGAACTCACATTCATTGATGCACCGACTCCTTAGTCGAGCCCTCAACTCTACTCGTGAAGCGCCCATTGTACAACTCGAGGGCCGCTAAGGTACGGACGTCTCTACCGTCATATTGCGTCCTTTGTCTTGACGTAATTGTGCCACCGCCTTGTACCATCTTCCATATCCAAGTGCCAGACTATGTATCCGTGAAATCAGTCTAGTTCCATTGCTTCTTCACCAAGTTCTTGATCTAATATTACCCTCCCCTTCCTTCGTCGGGCTGTAAGAACACTCAACATCTTGTCATCTGTGACAATCTCGCGGATACTGAAATTCCTCATTTTTCTGGCCTCCCGCTTGATAGCACAAAGAACATGAAGTGCCATGTTCCAAGGAAAAGTGAGTGCCTGACAAGAAAAGAAGTTGGCATGTCACATTTGTCGATTTCCAAACACGCAAACAAACTGACTAGGTCCAGATTGCAAGGTTCGATGTCATATGCCAAACTGCGTCCATCCAACTGCTTCTCGCCTTATTCTTTCTCTATGGTGTTGTTTTTTGGATGACGACTCCGGCCACTCAAAGTCATGACGCCACGCAAAAACGCAGACAGGAATTGGGTCAAAGTAGCAACCACTCCACAACAACGTGTTCAAAAAGCATTCGGATGCGTTTCTAGACACACAAGTCTTGACGGCCCACTCGTCGTTTGCGACTTGACAAGGTAATCTACCCTGTTGACATTCACTATTCGTGCATGGTTTTCAAGCAAGCAAACCGTCCTTCCTCCTCAAACAAGCACCATAACCTTCATAACAAGGCACCTTCTTTATCAGGCAACTGCACTGTCTTCCTGATTAATTGGCTCTTGAGTGACCATGAACGAGTCTCGGGCCTGTTGCTTTTAGTAAGGGGCGACGGTCAGATAGGAAGCATGCATGTTGAGACAAGCGTGTTCAAAGCCGTGGCAGCTTCAAATGGAGTTACGAACAATTGATATTGCATCACATTATCGAGCTTTCAGTCACAGGTGTGACAGGAATAAAGGAGCACACGTAAAGACGAGCAAGAAAGACATGCCAGCCGCGTTTTCCTACACAATCCGATCCGCAAGGTTTTCGGCCAGTATTACAAAGAGCAGACTACATGAAAGCATCCAGCTGTTGTCACTGCCTTCACTGAAAGCGCCGCTTTGGGCTTCATCGACCATCGGCACTCAAGCAGCGAGTCGGAATACAGACGAAACGGCATGCGACTATCCCGAACTTAGCCAAACATCATACGACTTCTTAGCAAAGCTACCGATCCCTCACATGCAGTGAAACAAAGGCCCAAAGAGGGAGAAAGAGGGTGGACTGCCGCCCCCCCGAACCCCCCCTTTTTTCTAGGGTGAAAATGGGGTCGGAAAATCTGTATATAAGCGCCCAGCAACTCACCTGCCTGCCGTCGCGCCCCCGCTCGTACGCCGCGTTCGCTTCGGAGTACGTCACCGAGTACGCCGCACGTGCCGCCAGGATGACGTCATCCGGAGGGGCCGCCGACTCTAGCCGGGCGATGATGTCGGCGTCGGCGGGAGTGACGTCACGGGGGAGGTGTTGTTGCCAGAGCAGCTGCGAGGAGGATTCGATTGATCACGCGTTGCATCAAAAGAATCTCAGATGGGTAACTATGCACCCATTGCAATCCGTACGTCTTGAGATTTGGAACGGATAAAAGGCGCCGTCTATAAAGGAGAAACCAAGGCTCTTTGACACGTGGAAAGGACGCTTGCGCACTGGAATCAAAGGTGCTAGCAGTACTGCTCGTCAAGAGCGACCATTTTTTGGAAGGAGATTCCGCACAAAATCCTCCAGAACTTTCCGCTGTTTCTGCTTTAAGGATGTCCGAGTAAGGCACCTTGCAGAGCCTGGGCATACGGACCAACCAC